ATAGTTAAGCATGAATTTAACATGTAGATAAACTCTTCAACATCATAAGATCTTCGCTTTAGTACACTAATGTACCAAAATTCTAGCACTGTTTTTTTCCAAAACTTTGCTCCAAATTTCACTCAAACATGTACTTGAATGAACTAATGCTTTTTTGCCTGTTAATTAATAATGTCATTACAACTTTAATTTTTGAATGATTACCAAATTGCTTCTCTCCGCCCGAAACTTTGTCCATCAGGAATCACTGAATCCTTTACAAAGAAACACATCATAAAATATAACATTAATTTTTGAAGGTAACATACTGATAGACAACTTAATTTAGTTGTCGTTTGTATTTGGAGTTTGCTAAGAATAATATTTTATACTGAATGTGTCTTGGAGCGAAGAGTGGCAGTATCTTTAGGAGATCGTAATCATCAGTTATCTATAAAAGTGTAGAACTCGGTCCTTTTTCTCAATATTAGATGGCTTAACAATAACCTTAAACATGAATCTTTATAAAGAATATCATCCAGTTCACTTGGATAAGAACGGTCGTCATCCAAAACAAAGCCTACACCAAATTTCATTATGTTAGAAAATCACCATAATTGACAACTAAATTAAGTTGATTAGTATACCTCAAGTAATCCTTGCTTCAATTCTTTGGCGGACTTTCCTATAATTGCATAACTTCGCGATTCCAAAGCAATAATGATATAAAGCGGTTCCATCAATAACAAAAACTTGAAAGTCGATACGTGCAAGTCCAGATTTTTTTAATCTTGTGCTTTTCCTTTTTATAAATTTTAAAATCATATGAATATGAAAATTACCTGTGCCCACAGAACATTGTTCTTCATTGCATTTTTTTACAAAAAAAATTGTTCCCAAATTTTGTCAACCTTTTTAGTGCACTTGTTGCATGCCAAGTATGACCATCCTCGTTCAGTTCCAATTTCACAACTTTTGCAGCAAATCCAGTAGGTCAATTCCTATTTAAGAACCAAAATATTATTGTAAATTAAACGGGGAAACATAAAGTAATTATAGTTGAATACTAAATTTTAACTCACTCGGTACACTGAAATAAATTCGTAATAGTTTTAAATGATACAATTCCTGTGGCTAGCTCATCTTTGACAGAATAACTTTGTTGAGAGTTTGTTTGAGTAATCCGCTCACAGTTGATTGACATGTTACAACTAACCTGCATAAGTCGCAACATGGTAAAAGTGATAAATCGTCGTAATATTACGTAAGCACACGGAATTGAAAATTACACCCTTTACAAACCTATATTTAAACTCAACATACATGCGGTAGAATTAGAGTGATCCAATGTTTTGTAGAGATACCAACAACTACGCATTGAGTATTTTACCTATAGATAAGATAAATAAAAATTAGAAATTAATAAATTTTGGAAACTAAATTTAAAATATAGATTAAAGTTGGTAAAACCTCGGAATTTTTTGAGGTTTATAAATTGTCAAAAAACAATCAAAAGGTTCCGGTCTATAAGCTCCATTCAAGCTGAGGGCTGAATTCTGATCCACAAGTTCCGACTTCATAAGGTTGCCGTAAACCTGTTCCTCCTATAAGTTTTCAAGGTTAATGCGGTCATCAACAAATAGTATAAATAATATAATTGTAAAAGTATGAGTTTACAATTAGAGAAATAATTACTGATCATCTTCGAGTGTAACATTGAGAAAGACACTTTGTTATCTCCTTGCTTGTGTGTCTTAACATCATCGTACGTCACAACCTGACCAATGACAATCTAGAAATATAAAAGTTAGTTAAACATTATATAAAACGTGGTAATAATGGAAGAGCAGAATTACCGATTAATTCAGCCTCATCGACATTCTCATATTCTGATTTGTTAGCTGATCAAAAGGACGAAAGTTAAATATATTCCATATGAAATGAAGAATCAAATATTTCCTCAACCGTTGTCCTTTGTGTAATGTCAGCCTCGTTTGTGAGAGTATTCTTTAAAACTCAAGTTGTTCGGTACGACAACAAAGTAGTTCATGCGATATAAGCGAGTTCTTGTATCTTGGTCCGAAAAAACTTAATTACATACTTCCCAATCGAGGCTTGGATACGATCACCTAACAAAATAAGATTCATTATTAAGATGTATCATATTGCTAAAGAAATTGCATATAGTAGAAATAGAAATTTTAATCGCACATAAAAGCACTTGAAAGACATTAAAAAGCACACATGTTTTCTTCTGCAAGTTGGAGGTAGAAATATATATTTTGAGCATACCAATTTTAGAGAAGAGGAATCCTTGACGGAAGTAAATATAATTAACGTTTAAGAGTTGTAATGTCTTGCAAATAGAAAAGTCTTGTACCAAAGCTAATTAGTTTGAATAGAACTTTTCTGTGTATACTCTATCGGATAAAAACCATAAAGAAAGAAACTTTAGAACTATTGTAAAGTTCTTGAAAGACAGTAAAGCACACATGTTTCTCTACAAGTTGGAGGTAGAAATATAATTTTGAGCATACCAATTTTAGAAGAGGAATCCTTGAATGGAATTAAATATAATTAACGTTTAAGAGTTGTAATGTCCTTGCAAATAGAAGTCTTGTACCAAAATTAGTTTGAACAGAACTTTCTGTGTATAACTCTATCGGAAAAAACCAGAAAGAAGAAAAAACTTTTAGAACTATGTTAAAGTTAAATATGTTTACCTTTGCATCTTTGTAAAATCAATTCAATCGAATATGATTTTCGGGATTGAAACGATCCGGCATTTCCCAAATTCGAACGACTCTAACTTTGAGGTTCCATTGCAATCGATTGATTGAAATTTGACTGATTTCATGAAGTGTTGTAGCCATATTTACAAACCTTCTGTGTTGAGCAGAGAAAAAAAAGGAGTAGAGAATAGAAAAGAAAATAGAAGAGGGAGAAGACGTTTGAAACATTATTAGCGTAGAAGTCAGTTTATAAGTTATGGAGTTATAGAGTAAGAAAAGTGGGAGTCTAAAAATTTAAATAAATGATCGTGGATGAAGAAACATGGGAGTCCAAAAATCGTGGGACTGAGATAGCTATACAAACGTGGGACTCTTATAGAACTGTTGTGCTCCCGAAATATCAGTGATACAAATAACTGAAAGAGCAAATAACGTGGGACTGATTAAGATATTATCCATATCCAGTCAGTTATAAAGTTAACTTAATCACGTGAGTTGTTTAAAAGATGACATAATTTTTTTTTCTTTTTGATCTCCAAAATTATTGGAGTATTGTCTTAAAAAGTAACACGTGTCGATCTACAAGAGTGACACTTGGCGCAAAATTATTGTTTTGCTTCTCCTATTTCTATATTAATAGATTGAGAATAAATTTAATTAACATTAAAAATAAGGAGAGTTTAATAAAATTATTATATTAAGGAAAAAGAAAAATAAAACAAAGAAAAAAAGAAGGTATAAGGAAAAAAGAAAAGAAATCAAATGTTATAAAACAAACAAATGCAGGGAAGCGGTTAAAAAAAGAAAAGAGGAAACCGCTTATCATAAAAAAAAGCAAAGAGGCGCGAAATCTTTCAAATGCATGCAATCAATCCCTAAAGATTTGCAGAAGAAATTTTCAGTCTTTAATTTGTTGAATTATGGAGAATAAGGTTGTTATTCTTTTCATCTCCTTCAGAATTTGATGTCAAAATTTCCATTTCTTAAATAGAAAATCAACTGAAAATCAAGTTTTGCTTTGTTCTAACATGATCAAGTTAAATGCTTTCTGTTTTCCTGCTTAAAATGCTGTTTGTTTGTATTTTTAATTCTATGCCTTCGAAAATTTTTGGGTTTGTAATTTATTGGTTGTTATTTTCTTGTAATTTTGTTTTTCCCCTTCCTGTTTTCTTCCAACAATTCATTTCGCTTTGCTATTTTTGAGTCCATTTTTATTTATTTTGGCACTTAAAAAAGATGAGTATAATAGTGTTTTGGATCTCTAACACTGTGTTTAGTCACGAGTCTCACAAAGTTAATTATATGTGCCTTAATGTTGTGATTTAAATACAATTTACCAGTGAAAATAGTACTAATCGGGAAAATAAGACGAATTAATTACCTACTACAACTTGTGAAAATGCATTTATAGGCGTAAAAATTTCTATGCATTGTCCGTGTTAATAAGTTAAATTCTTCAATTTACAGTGCATGTTCCATTGTGTATGTTTGCAATTGGGAATGTACTGTTTTAGATTGGATTAGAGTCTGTGCACTTTTAACTTTAAGCTGTAAAAGACAGGATTTTGATGATATTACTTCACACTTTTGGGGCCATAGTTAGTCACCAATTATATGTTTTACAAACAATATGCAAACTTTTTTTTGTTTCAATACAAGCGAGTGTGTTAGGATTTAGTCTTAGACTGCTAGTGGTTAGTATATAGTTCTCACTACTCTTTCGTTCCTCTTAGCTCCGGGCTTTATTTACTGGTTATTGGTTTGCTTTTCATCTATTTTCTGGTTCTTGTGATGCTGTTATTTTTTATATGGTTTTTAGTGATGGTACTGATATATTGCCTCTTTTCGTCTTCTTGAGCCGAGGGTCTTTCGGAAACAGCCTCTCTATCCCTCGGGGTAGGGTTAAGGTCTGCGTACATACTACCCTCGTTGTTGTTGTTGTTGTTGTTATTATTGTTGTTCAAGTGAGTGTGTTAATTCTCAAAGTTGAGTTTGGTTATTTTTCTACGGTATGTTCCACGTTGGTATGACTTAAGTGTGTGAAAGTAACGTTACTTCGAGTTTTTGGCTTATGCCTTTTGCTCATTACTTGATAGTCTACTTAAGGAACAAATTGGTGAAGAAACCGAATGGAACCTTTATCTTATGTTAAGCTTCATTTTTCTTAAAAATCGACATTGTCAAATCCTACTCATAAAGTATCTTCAGGTAGCTGGTACACTTTACTTGTGTACTTGTCTTTTGTTCCCTCAGCCTGATTTCTACTGATTTTTCTTGCTTGTCAACCAGGAGATGGACCTCGATAACATCAAATCGAACCTTCTTGCTTTGAGGCAATTGTATGGTCTTTTGCGAAATGATGGAGATGGTCTTTCAAAGTTGACCTCTGATGGTGTAAGTTCCTCTTTGTTGACTTTATGGTGAGGATTCATATTGTCGAACCCAACTTTGTTTGGGACTGAGGCGTAGTAGTTGTTGTTTAGTGGACATATTGTATTGCATGTAAAGGAAAAATGGCTTATAATGTTATGCATCTCTGAACTCTGCTAAGTTGAGTAGTTGAAAGGTTCAAATGTGGTGGAACTCAACGCCATTTTGAGTTTGATCAAAGAACTTTGAGATCCTAATTTGTAATATCTGGATTTGGATTTTATTATTTGTTATTAGTTTTTAATATTATAAGTTGCACATGAAAGTGACTTTCGCACAGCATGATGGTAATTGTCTGCAAAATCATCTTCACAGAGTTGCCACTATTGCCAGAGGCCAGCCGTGGCATGCCTATGTCAATGGCACAAGGTCGGCCATGGCAGGCCACTATGGCATGAGGTCGCCATGGCATGCCTATGTCAATGATACAAGGTCGGCCGCGGCAGGCCACTATGGCACGAGGTCGGCAGCAGCATGCCTATGTCCGTAAAAAAAGACACTGATTAATTTTGGTTGTTCAACTGATATAGCTTTTAAAAGCTTGAAGCATTTTGATTACTAAGGAAAACTTATAAGTTGATGTCTGCATACCTTTAGCCCCCTATTGCTTCTCATACTAATAGATTATTCATCTTATATATGTCAGTCTCGACTCTTAAGGCCTATTTCTAACAGTAACTATTTTTCTTTCTTCAAATAGTTGGATTATGAAGCACGAGTCATGTTAAAGAATTTACTCGATACTACAACCAATGATGTTCTTAAGGCTCATTCCGAGGTACCTGACGTGTTCTTTTTACACTTATAATATCCATTCATCTTTTGTGCAAAAGAACTGGCCTCTTGGAGTAATATCAGCAGTGGAAAATTTCTCTGCTTACAGATCATAGCACGTCAGGCGCGTGTGCACAGCTTACCTCAGCCTCAGCACCTGGTTGACACAGCGAATCAACGGTCCCTTGCTTTATCAGACCTATCAAAATCTTCAGCTGTTATTCAAAGTTGTGGAAGAGAGCTGGTTGTCATGGATTCTACTTTATCTACAGAGAAGCAGGAATCTATCATGCCGATTACTCAGACAGCTTACACACAGCCACCACAGTTTAGCTTCAGTGCAAGTGAATCTGGAAATAAAAGAAAATTTTGCAGAATTTGCAAGCGTCCAAAATTTGAAAAGCCGTTTATTCCTTGTATACAGACCGAATCTTCTGAAAAAGAAGCTCCATGTTCTACAAAGGTCGTGGCATTGCAAGAACAGCAGAATAGTCTTTTCGCTAATTTTTCTTGGGATATTCAACAAGAAGCATTGCAATCCGGAAACACTGGAAGTGCAAACGCGAATGAAGTTCTCGATCTCCATCACATCTCAAATGGTGCACAAACAGTGGATCTTTCACAATCCATGCATGAGTTATCTGGTGTGGTAAGAAGGGTGCCCGATGGGGACCATGACTTCTCAACCGAAACTAATGATGTCATCAAACAACTCGAGTCGCACATTTCAGCCTTGCAAATGGATGCTGAGAACCTGGTTCTTGCTGATAAACATGCAGCTGAGCATAAAATCAAACCGATAACTGTTTTTGTGCCACAAGCAGAGTTAGCTACTCCTATCAAGAAGATACAAGGAGACACAAGTTCATTGTATTCAGGATATGTTGTTCCGCCTACCGGAATGCAAAAAATTTCAGCAGATCAATTGCCCAAGCCTCTCGAGTCAAGTAGTTACCAGCCAAATCAGTCGAGACAACAAAAGATAGTAGCAAACACCTTCTCTTCTGAGGAATATGATACTTCTAAAATGCTAGACTTAGTCGAAGAGAATCAGTGGCAGATACAGAAAGAGCACTCAATTAATGTTCAGTCAAAGAATCAAAATGATTGTACTTCAGTACAGAATCCTTATGCTGACCGTTATTGTTCCCAACAAGACCAACAGAATATGGAAATTGGGCTCACTGCTTTGCCTGCAATGTTGGTCATCCCGAACCAGAACCAGATGCCTTCAAACGAGAAAACAGGTCGGCTAGGACCAAATGCAGCAGATATTTTCAGAAACAACGTACATACTCAAGGATTGATTGATTACGGGAGCAAGTTAACTTGGTCGGGGGCATATGAGAGCAGAATGGATTCACCTTATTCACAGCAGGCAATAATGAGGCGGTCAGTATTGAATCACAAGCAAGGTCAATTCGCCCCATCCCAAAGCTCTTATGTAGACTTGGACAAAAAGCCTAGTAAACATCTGAAAAATAATAATCACATGAAACGACTGAGGAGGAGGCATTTACATGGACATGAATCAGAGGTTTCACGCTCAAGCTCGCCATATTCTTCCAGCGGGACAGATTTGCAGCAGACAAGCACTTACAGTAGTGAGAGAGATCATCCCTTGCCAAGGCAGGTTCGAACCAAGATGCATTTATCTGACGAAACAAGCAGCTATGGAGGAAATGAATTATATAGTCGGAGAGACAGTAGTCAAACTGAGTACACGGTCAGCTCAAGCTGCAGTTCGACCGAGGGTTACTCATCTCCAATTGGTAGTGAAAGGGCTCGTGAAATGATTTCTGCAAGTAAAAGTGAGAGAGAGATATCCTCATCACTTGATGGTTCGGGGTCTAACCATCTTGAAGAACCCTCTTACTACTCAGCAGATTCTTCCTCAAGGAAGTCAAGTCCTGCGCGTGTCTACAAGTCTGCTAACTCAAGAAAATCAAAGAAGAATAATGGAAGATGGAAGAAGTTGAAAGACAAGCTAGCGATAGTTTTTCACCATCACCACCACCACCACCACCATCACAGTAAGGATGGTAAAGGCAAGGAGAGAAAAACATCATTATTGAGGCAGAGAGGAAAAAGGTTCAATGGCCACTATTCTACAAGCAAAGATGAAACATTTGGAGAAAAGGCATTGGAAAAGTTTGGGAAGTCAGCGATCGACAAACAAGCCGGTAAAAAGCAGCAAGGGGGCCAATTTCAGACCCTTGCGCAGGGGCTGATACGACATATCCAGCATTCGAAGAAGCCAAAACATAGCAGCAGTAGACAAGTAGACAAAGGACCACATACCAATACGAAGGTGAATAGCAAATTTCATTGGTGGCAATTACTACAGCATCACAGAGGTATGAATAAATCACCTGCCATGTTAGGAGCTGGCAATAAGAAAGGGCATTCAAAAGCCTTTTCCAAGAAGAAATGAGGCACCTGAAATTGCACTCTGGTGATATTACCTGTGAATAAGAGCACAAGTTCTTGACAACACAACAGGAGATGATGGAGATTTTAACTCCTGAAAACAAATATCACCATTTATATTGTATTTGGAGGGGGGGGGGGGGGGTCGGGGACTGGTAGGTAATTA